GTAGGGAAAGCAGATTCCAAGCAAAAAAAAGATGCGGACCTACCTGTATTGTCATACAACACTTGAACCAAAATTCTAGAGTTTAAAACAACTGATGCTTTCTTTTTAAATTATTTAGTTGTCTGAAACACTTTTTCAAATCCAAAATTAACTATTATGTCTAATTTTTTTCCGTAATCTCATGGAAGCAGCAATTCTCTTGAATAAGTTTATTCTCTCAAGTAATAAAGAGCCAAGTTGTAGCTATCCCTACTATCTGAATTTTCAAGCTCTCCGGAGTTTGTCTCTTTTAAGCAAGGATGTAATAACTGCCACCCCTCTGCCTTTGGAGTCAGTACAGGCAAATCACACGATCCTCACTGAGCAAGTCTCCAGTGTTGTCCTTACTAGAGAAGATTGAAGAGTTTGATCTTGTGCAATAAACTCCTCTCTTTTCCACAGAACACATTCCACATGGAAACCTGCCTGCCTTTTTAGCTAGAGAATATATTCAAAATAAAGAGCTAACCAGCCTGTTGTTTAGCCTAGTTACATGCTGCACTTCTGTGCTCTTGTAACTGGCATTGAGCTCGAACGAAACCTTTCCAACAGATCCTGTGTGAACTTTGCAGGAAGCTCCAATTACAACCAAGATTCAAAACCAGCTCTAATAACAAAACCAGAGACTTCGTCCAAACTTCAGGAAAGTTAGTGTCAATGGTAAAATTTGCTGCTAGTATTAGGGTAGAGGAGACCATTGTGTCACACTCTGCAATACCATTACCCTTAACAGATACACAGTTAAGTTGTTTGCAGGGTTGACATGCTTTCCTTAGCATGTCTGGGAAGATGCTCTTGCAAGTGTGGAAAACTATTTGTGTGCACCTACAGAGAAAGGTGTCTTTTGTTCCCATAGTTTCAAGGAGCTCCAAGGCTCCTGTTCTTCAACCAGATCGCTCTGTGTGTCATTTCTCTCTTTTTTTTTCCCTCTTTTTTCTTTTTTCTTTTTCTTTTTTCTTTTTTCTTTTTTTCTTTTTTCTTTTCTCTTTTTTCTTTTTTCTTTTTTTTTTCTTTTTTTGAGGACTCTCTATGTAGTATCTCAGCTTGGAACTGCAGTTTCCTATCTGAACTTATTCAGTTTGATTCAGTTTACTAAAAAAGGAAATAGATGTCTCCATTTTGGAATACTCCCTGTGTTTACACAGGTTATGGTAGTTATTCAAAACAAGCAAAGGAGTAAAATGGTGGACACTACTTAAGGGCAAGTATTCTAAAAAAAAGTAGAAGAAAAAGAAATGGTGGACTGGGGTGCTCCTGATCAGCGGCCACTTCGTTAAGTTTAAGGCACAAAATCAACTTCTGGTGTGAGAGATCAGAAGTGCTTGGAGAATGACTGCCATGTAAACCTTTCAAAATTTATTCTACATTTCTCTCTCATTTATGTTTCAGAAAGACGAGAAAGCCACAATAGCCAAGATGAACCGTCAGCGCGCTAATTCCATCAGCCACAACCCGCCACACTGGGGTGTTGACCGACCCTTTTATAACCACCTTGGAGCTCACCAGGTCTCCAAGGAGATGAAGAGAATGGTAATGCCTTGTTTTATGGACATAAATTTATTTTCTTCTTAATACAGTATTATATATCCCTTCCTGCTTTGTCTGAAGGCTTTTGCAACCTCGAGGGCGTTTTCCAAATGGGGGTGGTAAATTCTACTTTGACTCCAGAAATAATAATAATTGGTACCTCTGGAGGTGAGTGATTGTGAGATGAGGCACAGGGTTATTTGAGAGGGGAAAGGAGGCTGAATGGCACAAAAAAGGCTCTTTTGTCTGACTTGTCCTATGTTCTAAAAACTCATCCAGGCTGTGTGAGAAGACGTGATTATCTACAAAAATTGCTCAGTAGCCCAAGCATTCAAACGGCAGCTGGCATACATTTGTACTAGATCATTACAGACTTCAGCACCTGCAAAGGTTTCTTCCTTGCACTGTAACAACCAGATGCTGTTCACCTTCTATAAGCTACATGCCAGTGTATACTCATGATTCCCCAGGAATCACGTCGCTGTGTTTAACTCTCGGGAATACATTCTCGAGTACACGGATTAATTGGCCTAAGGCAGCAGGCATCTTCATTTCTTGCTTATACCTTTCAGTCCTTCTAAATTAAAATGAACAAGAGCTAGTTGCCAACACAATTCGACCGAGAGCACTTTTATGGCTTATTTTACATAAAGTTGTAGTTTTTATCTGTGTTTCCTGCAATAAAGATGAAGAAAAGAGAGTTTCTATTATAATGGCTATTTGCAATAACACTAAAAATATTTAGCATCTCTATAATTGCATGCATAATCAGATTGCTCTATGACCTTATTAATGCTGGTTTGACCCTTCATACGCAGTCAAAAGTGTGTATTTGTTGCCCGTAGTCAAAGTTCTGCTCCAGGTCACCAAAGCCTTAAAGTAGTCAAAGAACTTTTTATCATGAGATTCACTCCTACAGCTTAAAATTTTTGGCATAGCTGTACGTACCGCATATGGTGTCTTCCAATGGGAAATGCTGGCACGTTTATTAATAGTTGGTGCTAATATTATTCAATCATATTATTATTTTACAGTGCTAAACCAAATTTCTTAATCTCCATAGTAGTTTCTTTCATTTCTCAGATCTCCAAATGAGGGCTTCTGAAAGAAGCGTACAGCTCAGTGGAACTGGCACTTTTATGTGGACTTTTCAATAGGGTGCACTCAATAGGCATGACATTATTAGAAGAGCCTAATCACACTAGCACATAATTATAATTATAAGTTTCTCTGAATAGCTTTTAAGGGGTTCTTGCAGCCTCCTGTTCAGAAACAAGGTGTAAGCATGCCAAATGGTATTATGCTTCTTGGTGTTAATTACAGTTTGCTGTGTCTAGCTGGTTGTTCAGTTGGAAAAACATAATTATTTATTGAAATATCAAGCTGAGTCCTAAAAACTTCACTGGCCCTCACTTGTAGGAAGAAAAGCTTCTCTTTTTTTTTTTTCTTTTTCTCCTTATCTTGAACCTTTCCCTGTAATCATATTTACCTTTTTATAAATTCAGCAGCTCAGAAAATCTTTTCCACTCAATCTGCTTCTGTACTGCTTCTTGTATTAAGCTCTTTTTTGAGAGGCTGATGCTGCATGCATCAGGCTATTTCTTGAAAACCAATTTAAACTTGATTCAGATGTATTATTTTCAGCTAGATTTTTTGTTGCTCTTGGGGACTATTTTTTTAAAATCTGTTATTTACAGTATTTCCCACTGCTTTGTGTTTGAGACACATTAGCCAAAATGAAAACATGCTGCTCTCCATGGCCTAGAGACCATTTTAATATCTACTAGATGGACATTTTATTGATTAGATCATGGGAACAACTTCTCCATCTCCTGTCTCAACTCTTTCTCTCTGTGTTAACTTCTAATTTAAATATGCATTTCTTTGTACCACCCAGCTTTGCATAGTACTTTATTTGTCTGTAATCTCTAACGTTGTGCTACATGGATGCTGTTTGCTGCTTAAATGCATGCACAGTGCACGCTGGCAGCGAACTGCCTGCTTAGAAATACAAAATACAGACAGAGAGAAGGGGAACAGAACTACAAAGGTTTTTTCCAGTGCTCCTCTGGGATGACATGTCATTGATGTTGGTAAGCCGCACCAGCTTTCAAAGCTCTTGAAAATGTGCTCTTTGTTCCACATCACCCACCTTTCCCCCAGACTTCTTGCATGTAATATATGTATCCTTTTTTCTTGGAAACTATGAACGTTAAAGTTGGATTAGTCAAAGTCGTATGCCAAAGGCAGGCAGTGCAACATTGCCTTTCTCTTGAAAACCTGGAGCTCCTTAGCACTGTAATTTCAAAACAGGGATTTATAAGGGTAATTGTAAGATAGTCCTCAGGCAGGAGCCAGGTAATGTTGCAGTGATGTGCAGTTGCATTATATTGATAATGTGGATATATATACATTTGTGTGTAAGGAGTAACATGAATGGTTATAAAGGACACAGGTTTTTTGTCACAAACTTAGAACATTTTACATTATGAAGACAACCATATTTCCAGAAAAAAAGACCTTTTTTGTGACGCTACTTACAATTCCCTGAAAGAGAATATTAAAATTCCCTGAATTGCATTTTTGGGAGGGAACTGTTATATTTATAGAAAACAGAATTATTTTGGCCATTTTTCTTTCCTTTGAACACTGGCTCTGGTAGCTGTCTCTATTCTTAGGATATATTAGCAGTAGTCCTGGATGAGACAGACTAGTATCAAAGGTAGCTATACAGTGCTTTCCCCACCCCACCCCCCCTCTTTTGCCATGGCATTTGAACACGCTGCCATGTCTGGGCTCATCCGTCGGAGTTTGTGTGGGAGGGCAGTCCGGCCGGCAGCATGGGGAGGTCTTTGGTTGCTGCTTCTCTCTGCAGTGTGCCTTGGAGCTTAACCTCTGCTGGGTCTGGCTGACTTTCCACGATGCTCCTGGGCTAAGTTGTTCCTCTGGGCACACAGGAGTTTATTCAGGCACTTGCCCACATACATAAATAAGACAAAGTATCCTACATGTGTCCATGCGGCAGTAATCTAAAACGTCCTGGAAAACTGGAGTTATTTTCCTAGTCCTGCCCTAGCTAACTGGGGCCCAAGTCAGGTGGAATTGCAGCTGTACCATGCCGGCTCATCCCGTCCTGCCCAGCAGCCCCTCCGTCTCCCTTGTGCACCGGTCTGCTTTCCAGACCATCTCCAATCCTCCTTTTTCCCCTCCCATTGCTTAGCGGTGGCCTTTCTTGCCGTGCAGAGCTTCCAGGGAGGCAGCAAGCAGGAGACACTGAGGTTGCCCGTTGCTGACCCTCACTCCCGTTGGCCGGTGGAGCCACTGCCCAGAGAAAGCTGGTCCTAGGGACTGTGCTGAGTTGGGGCTGCCGGGTCAGTGGCAGGGAAAGATGTGTGGGAGGGTGAAGAGCCTTGCTTGGAGCTGGTAGCTTCTGCTGGAGCCCCGGCCCTGGGAGCCCCTGTTGTTGGACAGGGTGATGCTGCGATGTGGAGCGGGTGGAGGGCTGCCTCGTTCACAGGGAAGCCTGGACAGGATCAGCTTTGGGGCTGTATACAGAGTATGAAAAGAGCCAGAGACTAGCAGAAGAACAGCACAGCTGCTTTCTATTTTTGTTGCTTTTTACAGCATGTATTCTTGTTTCCTAAACAAAAATGGTCAGTCCAGGACCAGTGACTGTATCTCTCTGGAAATGCAGACTTTTGTACTGCTCATGATGTACACAAAGGAGCAGCGTTCCCCCAAGCCTCCACACACCAGCCTTGTCTTCCCCACTGTCTCTCTGGTCCAGTGTTTAATTGCAGAAAGGTCAAAAATAAACAGACTTGAAAGCATTTAAGAGTACAGGGGTATTTATAGTTATAACAATATTTATACACCACTAAGAAATACTTTGCTTTTCCCAGTATAGATTTCAGAGTGCTTTTTTATAAATATTGATGGATTTTAGACTTCTGGAAATAATACTCACATCTCAATTTTCATCAGCAAAGAAAAACTACCATTAAAAAAAAAAAAAAAACAATTTGGGGATTGTAGTCGACTATAAACTGAAAGAGATTTGTTGTAAACAGTGATAAAAAGGCAAATATTGATACCTTCCAAAATTACAGGGCTGTTCTGGATGACAAATTATTCTCTTGCATCATTTACCCTACTCTCGTAGCTGGAAAACCACATCCAGTTCGGGATTGCAGTCCTTTAGGAGAATGTGGATGAATTGGAGATAGTCCTGTGGAGAAAAATACAAATTAGGAGAGTTTCAGCAGTGTGATCTGTGAAGAAGTGTTGAAGTATTGGGTTTGTTTAGTCTAGAAGGGAGAAGACCGATTAGAAACAAAAGGTTTCAAATACATGAAGGTTTGTAAGAATGGAAAATAGTGATAAATCATTCTCCATGACTGCAAAGGGCAGGATTAAAAATAGTCATCTTAATTTGCTGCAGGGAAGATCTAAGTTAAGAAAAAGCTGCGATGCAAGGAATAGGCTGTATAAGGAGCTTGTGGAATTCCTAATTGTCCTGAAAACATTTTATATGTTTTATTCAGGGCTTTTCAGTCTGGAGGAGCATCACAAAATCTTTTGCAAATATAGAAACAATAATGTAAAAAAAATCTCTATTAGGAGAATTTATAGGGAATAAAGAATATAGGAATAATATGAGATAGATGTAAAGATTTTACTAAGTTTCCAATCTAGGCTGCACAGAACTTCAAGGCACCAATCTCCCCTCCCCGTGTACAGGAGCCAGCTATACCTGCAACGTTTCTGACAGGTATTTGTCTAGCCCTTGTTTAAAAACCTCAAAGGATGGAAATCCCACAGTCTTGCTGGGCATCCTTTTCAACAGTTTAGTTATTTTTCTTGATGTTTTGCTTCACATTCCATTACTTCAATTTTAAAACACAGTGCTTCTTGAGCTATTCACAATAGATAGAGGACAGTTTAATTTTCTCTCCTTTTGCAGTTATCTTCCCTGTATTTGAAGACTATTACCATGGCTCTGC